ATAGCACTAGTGATATTACGACAACCACATAATCAAATTCAACTAGAATTGTTTACTTTAATTCTAAATGTTTATAGGCGAATTTAGTTTGGTTGTTTTCGTGATATCGCTAGTGCTATTTTAGATGCTAGAAATAGCTGGACACTCTACTCATAGATTATAAACTGCAAAATTTGATCATAGTTAAAGTATCAATGTCAGAGATTAATCATAAAACATGCGGATTAAGAATAAATTTACGCGTCTTATGTTGACAAACAATGGTTTATGTATTCTACCATCTTTTAATTTCTCTCAATATATTTGGATGACTGAGAACTATTATTAACGTACATTTGAATACATAAAGTTATTCTTAATCTGCATAATTTATGATTAATCATTCTATCGATACCTTCTATACTTTCGATAGATTTTAATTATTAAATCGTTAAAAATTATTATTAATTTAATAATTCATCTTTTAATTTTAATCGTTAAAAATTCGTAAATTATTTAATAAAAAGTCTCATCACTACATAATATCCCTTTTTCAATATTACGTGAATAATATTGTATTACAGTATTATGCATTGAATAACGCGAAGCAGGTCTTAAAAGACAATATAATAATATGCCCAATTTACGAGGGCTGCTTTCGAAGTTCAGGTTGATGATTGATGCCACCTTACCTTCACAGCATGTATTTTATTTTTTACGCAATTAATACGAGCGATATCTGAGCTAGATTGCATGACAACATTGTACATGCTGCGGCAGTAACGTCGATCATCAACGATAATCCGGTGTAGGAGTATACACAGTATACGGGTATATACACCAAAAAAAATTTTTGTCCTGATTGATTTCTACTATTTCTGTATTTCGAAAACCGCGATAATTAGAATCATTAAATGATAATATAATATATATCAAGAACGACAATTGTTGAATGGCCGACCCTGACGCGAAGCAAAAAAGAAATGGCATATTCAGTTGGTTTAAAAGAATTATTGCATTTACTGTATAAGAAAAACTAATAAAAATGTTGTTATTTAGGATATTTATGAATCTTATCTTCAGGATTCAACAATAATATCCTTGCATTTTAATATTAACTTGATCCTTATTAAAGCATCTTCAAAAATTATAAAAAAAACAATAAACATCTATATTTATCAAGTTCTTGCTAAGATATCTTTAAAGTTTTAAAAAATTGGGAAACTAGAGTTATTTTATTTCGTTTAACATTCAAATTTATTGATCACCCTAAAGTATTCATTCCTAATAATTCATTTCCATTAGTATTGTGCACAAAATGTATTAATCCCTACAAAAAAGCTCCTGTAAAATGTATAAAAATTTTAAAACCTTGTAATTGTGCGTGACTTATTTACAAAGTGAAAGATCTTTTTTTTACATTGAAAGACATACGTGAGTACATTGGCGTTAAAGGGCCAACACGTTTCACTGATATAACCTGGATTATAAGACAAAAAGACTTCCTTTCATAGCATCCTGCATCACTAATTGCATTAACGATTATATGATTTTTAAATTGATATATTAAACTGTGAAACAAGAGGCTTTATTGGTCATAAAATATCATTTTCTAATTACTGAATTAGATTTTCATATATTTCCGTAAAAGGTAGAATACATCTTTGATTCATGGATTGGAATAAATGAATACCGTTTCGAAATCTCTTAACGTTAAAACGCCAGTAATCAAGTTAAGGCAAAGAATTGAAATTTTATAAGAAATTTCCTTTATTGAAAGGGATTCTAGTAGACTATGCGTATAGATCAGTTCTTTCGTATCCAGTAAAATCGAGACGAGGATTAAGGTGCTGCATGTTGTGGCGAAAAATTGAAAAGAGGTGTATCATTGTAAGTATTCGTTTAAAAATTTCATACATAATAATTAACATTCTTAAAAATAAATTTCTTGATCAAAAGTTGCTTCATTGTCATTTAAACCATTGAAGCAGTCTTTTAGGGGAAGGTTTACCTCTAGATTTGAACGCTTACATAAATTCGTGTTGAACCCCATTTTTTAACAATAGTTTCAGAAAAAAACTTTCTTACAGTATTCATATATTTCAAGAATCGCAGTAAAGTAAATATAAAAAAAAAAAACGACAAAAGTTTGTGTTTAAACTTGTTTATATATAAAAACTTTATTTATACGCAGTTAAAAAAAAGTTCTAGTGGTTATTATATTAACGGTGATTATAAAATCAAACATGAGTTTTTTTTAAAAAAATAACAGGCTTTGAATATGGTTCAAATAACAAAAAATGAGAACTTTAAAAAGAAACAATTCAAAATTCCAAAGTTCAACTATAAAATTGAGAATTGAAGAAATAATAGAAATCTTTTTTAATTCTATAATTAGAATTAGCATTATAACTTATATATATATGACAAGAAAATTATAAAATTGTTCATTAAAAAAAATGTTGCTAATTCTTAATAATTATTTAATGATTAATCATTTCTTGAAAGCTACTCGTTGAATTACTTTTTGCTAACTTCCTGCTATCACACTCAACAGAAAGTATGTCGCCTTTAATATCAGTTTTATGAGAGGACTCATCTTGAGAAATCATTGGAGTTGGCATTTGAAAGGGTTGGTTACCTCCAAAATCGTATGAATCGTATGGCGTTTCGTTGACTTTAGGAAAACTTTGATTTCTTTGTTGTCGAATTCTATTAGTGGCTTGGTATAATCTTCCAATCATATTAATTGTCAGGTTGAGGCAGGATGAGACAAGGGTAAGAAGTGGAATAATGTCATATATGACAGTATTTCTTTGGTATAAGATCTATATTATTAAGATCGGAATTTATTGAACTTATGTTTTAAAAAGTGTGAAAAGGAAAAGTTTATGCAAATTAATCTTTACCTGAATTATTACTTGAGGTATATCTTCTGTGAATATATTTAAACATGCTCCCCAAAATATTCTTGATTGTGCTTCATCTGAAAAAGGTGCTTGGAAAAATGAAAACCCTGCAAGGTTTGATTTAAGTATGGCTAATGCTTCAATGTCTGCTCCTGCCAATACGGTAAATATTGATGCAACCTTTCCGTGTCGAACAAACCATGAGAAAAATTCTGGTTGTGTATTTTCCTTTGTAATAATCGAAAAAGCTAATGCAGTATTTATGCAAATTGGAGCTACTAGAAATATTACACTATTAAGGTTTAAAACATATTAATATTATAATTATTTAAATGATAATTCATGATAATTCATGTGAATAATTTTATCGTACCTGGGAATGTATAGAAATTCTACATCTTTACCATTATTAACTAAGAATAAAACATCTATGATAAGGTCAAATAAAATAAGGCCAAGTTGTAAAATGGCAATATTGTGACCCTTTTTATCTCTTCTTTGAGCCAATAGGAAAAGAAAGATCAAAAGGCAAGCTACCAAGAACACTCCCAACAGTTTCAACTTGTATTTATCCCATAAATTTGCTAAATTATATTAATTAATATAAAGTAACATGAATTTAAAGAATTTTAGTTAAGTTTTTTGTAAACCAAAGCAAAAGTAGCGCAAGTGGATCTATATGTTTAAGTTTATTTGAGGCGCTTACACGATGGAACAAATCCATAGGTATCATCTAGATATTTTGTAGTGTTGCCTGACCCAATTGGTGTAATATCTTTATTACGAATCATTGTATTTAAATCTCGGATAAGTGATGCAACGCTTCTTTCATTTTTATCTCTGCTTTGTTCGATATTAAGTAATAAAAACATTTGTCGGCCTGGACTAATAGAAAAATCAACCTGAACATGTTTGTTAGAACTTAAACGTGAAGTGGAAACGGGGAGAATTTTTGAAATATCAGCTTGAAGGTCGGAAAAGAATTTGTTAGAATCTTGACTTTCATAATATGTTGTTCCATCCAAAGTTAGACGTAATAATCCAGATACTGAGCCTAAAATATGATTCATTTATTATATTATTCATTTATTTATACGATTTATTTTACATTATTTAATTAATCATTAACATCATTAACGTTAAGCTGATAGTAAAATTTACCTGCAAATGGTTCATCGTTGTTTTCTGAGATATGAATGAAAATTTAAATTATACATTAATTATACATTAATTTAAATAATAATAATAATAATACCATGGTTGTAACTTCTATAGTAACTCGTATAAAATTTTTGAGGGTTTCAATATAATAATTTAATAAATATTTACGGTACCTGTTCTGAATGACCAAATTCTTCCACCAATTCCAATAAGTGGTTCTTTAAAAGCTCTACTCCTTACAAAATTATTATCCACTGTTACATAAAACATAGAATTTGGTTTACTAAAAGTGCTATCGAGAACTTTGATGGTTACTGTTAATCCATCGTCTGATATTGAACAAAAGCCAGTATTTTTTCCGGAAACTATTTGCCGAAGGTAATCATTTTGATTGCTATCAGTTTGATAAATTGAAGCATTTCCAGTAGAAAGATCCACAGGGTCATAAAATGTGATAGTGATATTTTGAGTTGTTGTTGGAATTACACCACCAATTTTAGGGTAAGTAGTGTTGACACGAACATTAGAATAACCATTGTCTAGATTTTTTGTAAATTTGGGTAAGTCAGAAACGAGAAATGACCAACTATTCAAAGATTCTTGTTGAGCAACAACAATTGAATTATTTGGAAGAATCTGGAAAGAACCAGCTACGTTTGAAGGAGTAGGTTCTTGAAGATCCCAGGGTTGCCCTGTGACTGAGTACTCGTCAAAGACATATGCGTAGATATTTACTAAGTTGGTTGGTGACAATGTCTGAGCAACCAATAAATAGCCTCCATATGATAATGAAGCAACCACCCATTCTGTGACATTAGGTAGCGTAGGTAGTGATCTAGATATTGGAGTAAACTCAATAACTGAACCACTTGACAAGAATGAAATTTTTGCATAATAAGTGTTATTGTTACTGATAGATTGCGTTGATTGTGTTGCTGTTGCATTGGTTGGTGTTGCTGGTGTTGCATTGGCTGTTGAATTATCATACATGGTTAATGTACAAATTTGGCCGACACCAACTGGGGAAATGTCACAATAAAGCGGTCCGAATAATATGTTTTGAATTGGAATTTGATAGAGAAGTAGCGGGGATCCCAAAGTCTGTTCACCATATCCAATAGTTTGAATGTACAATGCCGCACGAATAATTAGTGGATCGGCCGAATTAGTTGGATCAGATGAATTCGCGTAAAGAATAGCATAACCTTCATCAACTGTCGCGAGGGTATTAAATACGGCACTTGCAAAAATGGGAAGTTCAATCGTACCACTCGAAAGTTGTTGGAAATGATAATTTGAATCACTAAAAAAAAAAAAAAATGTATATATACATATATATATTTTATATATTTAAACATAGTAATTAATATATTATTTTTATAATCTGATCAAAAATAATTTTTTAAACTTACATGAAATATTGTGCCCATGCCATATTAGTGGTATTTCTTATGGCAGAAATTCGCATAAATCCTTTTTCTGGAGCGATATTAACTTTTACACTGGATTGGTCTGGGTTCCATGCACCGGACACTGGATTTGTGAAAGCGTATCCAAAAAACGCTTTACTGATAACATGAGGATTTAAAGAATTCAACAAATAATCCATGAATTAATTGAATATCTATCATATTAAACTAACCTAAGTATGTTTCCATTCCAATCAATGAGCATCATCCATTCTTCATATGTAGAGAAATCATTAATATTTGTAGCATTAAAGTAACTTAAAAGTAAATATCCAGTTTGTAAAGGGTATAATCGCATCGGTTCCAAATTCTGCGGAACAGCCTGAATAATACAATAATTGAACGATTGGATTTTCAAATCAATGTTAAGTTCCGATACAGTTCCGTTGGGATATATTATTCGTAGCGATAATACTTGTTGGAGGCATACTCGATTACCTCCACCATTGCTTGCATCCCTTTGAATTATACGAACAAGTATTGTGCCATCATTGTATACATAAGTCTTCCATATTCGAGGTATTATTGAAGATGACTGTTTTTCTTGATATGTAAAGTTGGAATAGCCTGAAACTCTTGGCACTATTGCTAGCAATAGTGATATTAAAATTATCAACGGAATTATCCGACTGGAGTCTGATCTAATCTTCATGCCGGATAAGGATTATTTTATAGAATTAACTTGAAGAAGACTTAAAATTTTTACGTAGATAAAATGGCACTTTTATGTCTATACTGTCAATGATAATGAAAACAGTAATTTTATTTTGTTTTTTTTTTCCGTTTATGCTAAATTCGTACTACAAATCGAGGTCGACCTTAGTAGATAGGTGCAGGAGAATTTTTTTTTTTCTTCAAAAGGTCGTAATATAAATAGCTTTCAAAAAAGATAAAAACAATAAGATATTCGCCCTTATTTGTTGCATTGCCTCCTTATTTCAGCATTTCCTTCTGAACTCCTTACTAACATGCGTTACTACGTTATGCAAATATGCAAAAATATGTAGTACTAAGAAAAGAAAGCCTAGTCCGATGTATACTATTCGCTGGTCATTCTTATAATATAAATTGTGCATGTAAAGCAGTGTTGGAAAATATAAAAATATAACGATAAACGGATCTTCGAGCCCATGAAATCTCAATTTCTTGTTTCCTAATCATTACATTTCCAAGGCTATCCTTTTTTGGTAAACCATAGACATAAACATAATTTCGGGTTGTATATGAAGAATTTAATTAAATTTATTTATGATTTTAGAATCGTTCTAACTTTTGATACACAAGTTCATAATAGAGAGAAAATATAAACAAATAAGGCTTACGAAGTTTGTTTCTACTATTTGATCATTGGTACTGATAAAAAATTTCATCTTGAAATGTATATATTAGAAAAATAAACTTACCTTTATCATAATGGTTTGATCCCTAAATTAGTGAATGTGTGGATGACGTAATAAAATTAAAGATCTCCCAGAGGAGATACCTTTAAATACTCCTGTTCTCAGTCTCATGATTTTTTTTTTTACGGTTTAAAAGTACCATTGTCCTTTGAAAATTGCTTTAAAATTATATCAAAGCCGTCATGATTAACAGTTCTTTCAGTTAGAACTTTATACGGTTGTGCTTAAATGAGTCTTAAATGCAAGGACTAATGTGTAAGATTTACACTTACCCTCGATCTGAATATTCGAGAAAATTCATATGATGCGTCGAAAAAGTTGATATATTCTTTATACGATATTCAATAATGTATCCTTGGCAACAATAGATATGTCTGATCTAGTCTCTTTGTGAAAAACCGAGATAAAACAAATATATTCTTCCGTTTTTAAAAAGATTATGCTAACGTTGTTTCATTTATATTACAGTATTATGAATATACAGTATATTGTCCATAAAGTAACTGTATTAGCGTTACACATAACCGAGATTTCTATCGAATAATCGATATAACTTTTAATTTGTTTCATTAGATCTCCAAATTTGACTTATTTAATATTCCCGTAGAACAAATAAGAATAAACAAATAGGTACGTACAATAGTACGTATTTACGGCAATATATGATTATAAATATGTATGTGCATAGGTATTTAAAATGAATTGTAAGGGATCCATAATTTACTTATACGTACCCCTATTCATCCGGATAAATCTTATTGGAACTGGACGCACGCATTTAAATACTGATCTACGTAAGTGTTCAAAATATTATATGCAATTTGATCATAGCGATAGACGAATTACTGTAGATGACCTAAATACGGTACGGTCTGTATTACTGATTACAAATTTCAACATGTTCGTAAAAAAAATTTTCTCATCCATCAGGAAAAATTTTAGACCGAAATACGTCAATAGTAATCGGATCAATTACTATCATGTTTAGCATCCCTGACGATTACTATCATCAGTTCTAACGATATATAGCAAAAAAAAATCGCAATCTCTTACGGCGTTTTCAATTTACTGTGATTGACCATCACACGGAAACTTCAAAATTCTCTAAATTTAATTAAATTTTTTTTTTAAAAACTTTGAACGAAGATATCTTGACAACCACAACGTCAAATTCGATGAATCTTTTTTTATTTAAATTCTACGAATCTGTAGAATTCAAATAAAAAAAAAATTTATCAAATTTGGCTTGGTGGTTACTGAGATATCTTCTTTCAAATTTTAAAAAATTCTCAAATAAAAGTTGCGACAAATTTCTCAACCTTTGAGCGAAGATCTCGACAATCACCAAGTTAATTCAATAAAATTTTTTTTTTTTTTGAATTCCATGTAGCTTGTAGTATTCAAATAAAAATGATTATCAAATTTGGCTTGATGTTTGTCAAGATTATCTTCACTCAAAGTTTTAAAAATCTCAAAATAGAAGCTGCGACAAATTTCTAAACTTTGAACAAAGATAACTCATCAAATATTAAGCTAAATTTAATATATATATATTATTTTTTTATTGAATCCTACGAACAAGTAAAATTCGAATTAAAAAAAAAAGATCGAATTTGGCTTGGTTGTTGTCGAGATATCTCACTCAAAATTTTTAAAAAATAAACATCTATCAAATAAAAATTTTCTTAAATTTTGAGCAAAGATATCTCGGCAACCACCAAGTCAAATTCGATGAATTTTTTTTTATTTGAATTTTAAAAATCTGTATAATTCAAAAAAAAAAGATCACAGAATTGGCTTGGTATTTGTCAAGATATCTTCTAAAAAAAACTTAAACAATCTATCAAAATAGAAACTGCGCCAAAATTTTTCACACTTTGAGTGAAGATATCTCATAAACTACTAACCAAATTCAATAAACGTTTTTCATTTGAATTCTATGAATCAATAAAAAAAAATTCATCATTTGACCAAGATATCTTCGCCCAAAGTTTTAAAAAGCCCAAGTCTATCGAAAAGTTTAACTTATAAGGGGAGATTTTGATCACAGTAAATTAAAAAGCGCTATAATGTCATAACCAGCCAGATCGGCTCAAATTTTTTACTCGATATTCTTCTATATTTCATGGCCCCTAATGTTCTCCCGTTGATGATATTTTTATGATGACGTAATGTCGTGAAAATATCAAAATTTTAATCAGAAATGCTACGGGCATAGGAACCGTGAAATATATTGGATATTCCACGTGCGCCGTGAACACCATGGCTTCGCCGTGCTAATCCATGATATTCGCAGCAGCCCGTGGAATATCTATTACATAAGAAATACTAAATTTTAGCTAACTTGGATTAGTAATTATTAAAAAAAAAAACTTTATACGTATATGACAATCAATATTTAGATAAAACTCCTATCATATTCTAGGGTTAGTGTTTCAAATCGAATTAAAAATCCGGGATTGAACCGAAACCGACCCGAATCCGAAATTCGGATTGAATTCGGGAACAATCCGGGGCCAATCCGACGGTTGATCCAATTAGAATTTTCTGGGCCAAAACTGATCCGACGGTTGGGATCAGATCAAAATCCGAATCCGATCCGATCCGACTTCTTCGAACACTAACTAGGGTGTCCAGCTATTTCTAGCATCCTAAATAACGCTAACGATATCGCGAAAACAACCAAACTAAATTCGATTCTTATTTTTTATTCTATAACTTATGGCGTGTAGAATTAAACCAATTTCGGTTGATTTGGTTATGTGGTTGTCGTAATATTACATTTTGTTATATGTATACACTAATTTCTTAACTAACCCAAATAGGGGATGTTCTACGTATAAAATAGGTGAACAATATAAGAAATAAGCTTCGCTGATGATTAGTAATCATTAATTTTTTAATATATTAACGGAGTTTACGGAGTTTGCCCATCTATTCTATAGAACATCCCAAATGGGTATGGATTATAGATAAATATCAATATTATCTAGCCGGTTTAGTTCATTGGTCAAATCGAGAAAATCTTTAATAAAATTAACTAAAAGACTAAATCTTAATAATAATCTTAGTTCCAGTAATTGATAACAATATAACCGATATATATCGCTATAAAAATATATCTATAGTTAATCGTATATGCTGTACGTATCGTAGAAAAAATCCGATTTACTGTCTATGAAATTTTTTCTAACTATATTGTATTTAAAGTATATAAAATCCCTATTAGATAAATTTTTAGTATACTATAGGGATGTGCTCGGTCTTGAAAAAGTCCGGTCCGGTCCTAGACCGGGACCGTTAAAAGGACCAAGGACCGTTTTTGAACCGAGAACAGACCGGACCGGGACCGAAAATTCTATTGGTAACGTCATCCCTAATATACTAAGTATATTATAATATTAAAAGCATAAAGCCTGAACACTTAGTAATGTAGCATCTTGTATTGTATCACCATCCCAATTCACGAAATTTTTATGGATGTTCAATTAAAAAATTATTGAAAAGTTACTTTGTCAGATATGACAATGGAGAAACCAAACACCAAGGCTATCTGGAATAAAGAGGATGAATGATAGGAACTTTCGTGTTTAGTTCAGACGCGTTAATCCTATTCCTAGATAAATTTACAGCCATGCTAATTCGAAACAAAAAGATTTCTAATACTTTACAGAAACTCGCAAAAAATTATAGTTATTTTTATTTTAAAATAATAGCATATTTCAAAACAGGATGCTATT